TACCTTTCGTAAATTGTTCTTCTTTATAAACGTTTTGAAATGGGAAGGAATGAACACCAAAAAAGTGTCTATTAAAATAATATTCAGTGTTAGTATGAGAACATATGGGTTTTTCAGTAACCTTGAGTATGCTTCTGTTTGGTGCTAGAAAGGTTTAACAGCCAGAAGCCATCTTGCTCCTACTTGTGTTTCTTTGGCAGTATTGCTTCTAATTAGTTTCAAGATTAAATTTAATAGTTTAATAAACAGGATTATATGATGTTGAGAGTACAATATGTAATTGACTCCAACTTTTGGATTCCCCCCCCCCCTTTCCTCTTCTGATGATAGTTGTCAGGGAAAGTGGTTGTTGTGACAGCATCCGCAGAAAGGCAAATGGAATACATTATGATGAGGATGCATAAGGTTTGCAAATTAGCAATGAAGATACTGGAGTATGACGCTGTTCGGAGAAAGTAAAATTTATCAAGGACTGTTGTCATAAAATGGGCTTTTTAGTACTTTTCTAGTTCTTGTGAGAGTAGATTATTTATTATAAAAAGCTTGAGATTGAAAAAATTGCCTGTTCTACCTAAGGAGATTTTTCTTGGCTCCTCTAGCTTACCCCGATGTTCACAGTAGATGAACTACAGTGATCTGGTTTGTGAGCTTAGAGACAGTAACTTTCCATTTCCTGGAGGCAGCAAAGCAAAAGCGATTTGGAGGTCTGATTTAGCTGATGTGCTGACGTGTTTCTGAAAGAGCACCAAGTATGCTGAGGCTGCACGGCTGCGCCCTTGTATGCACGGGCTCTTGGGGAGTGCTTTGGGGCTGTGGACTTTGTCCATACAGAAGGATAAGCCGTGGCCAAAGCTAGCAGCTACTGAGATGCGTGTATACAGATTTTTTTTCTCTAAAAATGGAGCAAGTATCTGTAAAAAGCAGTGTGTCTCGCTATAGAACAGACTGTTCATGACTGGAATCCAAGAGAACCTAAGATTTCTGAGGGAGAGATGCAAAATGATAGATGCTTAAAGAGACTGGAAGTCTTGCTTGTTTTATCATGTGTCATATACTCCATATACCGTGTGGAGTTTTTGTTTTATTTTTTTAGGTTGTTTTGATTTATTTAGATATATTTAGCAATGCTGCTCTAATTTTTCTCATGTGACTTTTTCCTCATGGTCATCTAATGTATACTGCAGCTAGTGGTGCATATATTATAACTTACTTTTGAGTCATCATGCACCTACCTAATACAGGGTTCATAGCACTTTTTTTTTTTCTTAGGAAATGTCTATCTTATAGTTCTGTCGACTCTGAGATTTGAAACTTTTTGAAGTATGCAATAACAGGAATATTCAGTAAGCACAGGCAACAGACTGATATTTACTAATAGTTAACTGTTAAAATTATTTTGTATCAACTCATACCTGAGATTTGATAAATGCATTTTTTTCTTCTTTTTTTTTCCCTCTTCTGTAAATTTTAAAAAATTTTTGCAGGTTGTTAGAAGTTAACTATTATGAGAGAAAATGGGGAGCTTTTTAGAATAAAATATGTAAAGAGTTTTCCTTTCAGATTGACTGGCAATAGCATCAACAAATCTCTTAGAAATCATAGTGGCTTGTTTATTCTGTGAAGAAAAGGTGCTTTCAGTTTCAAGAGTAGTGCTCCTTTCTGAAAGCAGAAATGTCCTTTAAGAGGTAGAGGGAAATCTCAAAATACCAACAGCTTTTTGTTTCCTGAGCGTGTATGCTATGTCTTTTTGAAGTAATGTAAATATTTTATTATCATATTTCCTTCATGTGATGCTCTAAAATCCTGGATAAATTGGTGTTCAGTGGCATTTAAATTTCAGCTTATTGAAATCTGTTCATTTATTTGAAAGTGATGTCTGTCTGAAGTCTCAGTTTTATTTCCATGTTGTTGGGCATGATGACAATGGTGATTTGAATCATGTTTCTTGCAAACCTGAAACAACTGCACTTTTTTGTGGTCGTCGCAGTGTAATAACAGTGTGTGGATGTTATTAATACTTTATGTTAATAGAGATAATGAAAGATAAAAATAAAGTATATACAATGTGAATATTGTGGTGATTTTCTCTTCTTGACAGGCTGCTGAGCTTCCAGTACAGCAAAGCATGTTTCATGATAATTTTATTTATTTTTAATAATTGAAGCAAAAAGTTTAAAAATAGCACAATTTCTTCTTCATATCCCACTTACTTCGTTTAAGCCTTTGTAAGGTGTGTTGCCACTTTCCCCTCCAAAGTGTTACATCATCAGATTTGTTCTTTAAAGGGATGAGCTGAGAGGAAGGTGTCTTATTTGGGTACCTGTCTCTCAGGAGAAGCAGACTTTTGTAGGCAGTTTGTCCTCACTTAGTTGCAGTAAGATTAGTCAAAAATGGGTATATCAGATCTTTCTGAAAGAGTTATCTTGTGTGTAGAAATTCTAGAAAAATGTGTATTACAAGCCCCTTTGAATTATGTGGATTTATATGCTTGTCTTCTAAATAGCATCCAGTGCTGGATTAGAGAGTAGCATCAGAAAACCAGAGTTGAATAATCCTGTAAAGTAAATGAGATCTTTCAAGTAAAAAAATGTTAGTGTAACTAGTCCTCTTAGGAGGTGCAGGTTAAGTGTGTACCTGAATTTATAAAATAGTATTTGTGTACGCTGAGTCTTATTTGGAAGGTCTTGCTCTTTTGGAAGCTCATAAAGGCAGTAAGCGTTGGTTAGCAAAACAGAGAATAAATATGGTCTCCTCTTCTGGTGTTGTCTCCTGTTTTCCCTTATTGCCATCTCCTGGTGGAACTGATGTGTGCAAGAAATAGGGAATGCACGATGCTCAAGTTCAGGAGCTATAGGAGAGTGTGGGGATAAAGATGTATTTTATGTACAAGGTCACACAATCTGCTGCTTTCTTTAAGAGGTAATGATAAGCTGTGACACTTCTTTAATGACATTTGAGCCTAGTGTTCAGAGAAAAGGAGATGTGTTGCCTTGAGAAGGCAAGCTCTTGGAATCTGATGAGATGAGCGAGAAGACTTGCAGGTAAAGTAAAACGGGGGAGGAAAAGCTAGCGTTTTATGCTCATCTTAGAGGGCAAAATGAGCAATTCCTTCAGTCAGTTAATGCAGTTTGAATGATGCAGTGCTTTTCGTCAAGGTCACCTTGTGCATGGAGTGATATTATTCTTGCAATGAAAAGGAAGCAAACCTTTTTTGCAAGGTTCTTTCTACTTAAGCATGAGGCAGAGCAACAGGCAAAGGAAGCGTAGGCTACCTGTTTTGTTAGAATACATTAAACAGTATGCAAGGCATCTGTTCGCCTCCTGAAGATAACCATTAAAAGGACTTCAGTTTTGGTTTGTAGTTTTCTTGTCTTTTTTCACTGTTGCAAGTCCATTGCTGTCTATTTAGTATAAACGAGCTGTCACAGTTTTTTATCATGTTGTCTAACTGGCTTGGAGCAAATTGAGACAAATGTGATAACAGCACCATTGTTCAGCTGTAGCTGTACTACAGCTCTTCTAAATGCCGCGGTCCATGTAGCTTTTCCATTGCTAGCACGTTGAGAGGAATTTGACCACATAGATAAGCTCCAGGGCAGTTGATCCCTTTACCTCTTAGTATCACTAAACAAATGGAAGTCTGGCTTGAATTGAAATAGCAAATACACAGTAGAGGCAGCGATTGTGGCTGTGGGTTTTTCCCCCATTGACGCCTGTCTTTCCTGTGAAGTTCTGCTGATCAGGTCGGTTTTCTGTTGAAATAACTTTTCCCTACAATACAAACTGTCTTCATTATGCTCATTTCTTTCATTCTGGCATTTCTGTTGGTTCATTAGCTAATCATCAGGAACCTAAGGATTTGTTCAAGAGGAAAAAATAAAAATATGCTTTTGATAGAAGTAGCATTGGTAGTTTGATTAAGGGGAGGGGGAGAAATGTTATCAGGTACTGTATAGCATTTGTTAGTACTGCATATAAAGGCAAGGAATTTTGATCTTCATAACTAAATAAGAATGAGCTGTGTCTTTTGTTGTTTGGTTGGTTTGGGGTTTTTTGGGGGGTTGGTTTGTTTTTGTATCAAACCCCTGAACTTGTTCTTGGTACCTAGTAACAGTAAGGAAAATGCTGTTGGGGCTTTTCCCTTAAGACCTGGAGTTTAAGAAAGTATATGGAGTTTTTTAAAGATGCTGTTTTCTTACTGAATGTTTTGCTGTGTCTAAATGATGTGTGTTATAATGAAAACTCAATCTAATGGTTACTTTGCATTTGTCATTCAGGTGGATTTGCCTAATATTTTAGGGTGATACTTTTCTTACGGTCAGATTATTGTCAGTTTTATCCATGCATGTTGAGGCAGATCGTGTTATTGAGTATGTTTTCATTCTCACCATATTTGCAGTCAAGAATTGCTGTAATTGTTGTTCAGCAGGATGTTTTCTACTGTGACAAAGTTAAACAGGCTGTATGAGTAGCTGTTCTTTAAGACTAACGCAAGCGTACCTTAGGATTCCATTGTAAAGTTTGGGAAACGTGTAAGTATTTGCATTCAAGAATGAAGGAAATTTGGCGCTCATGCTCAGGAACCACAGTAGTTAGTCTGTTTCTTGCAAGTATAATCTCTTTTACTGCTCAGTGCTGACTTGCAAAAACCTCTAATACGATACTCCCTTGGAGTTCAAATATTTGGTACCAGCCAAATTCTAGGGTGGTGTTAAGCCTTAATAAAAATGAATTTGGGGGTTCCTAAATCTGATATGTACTCAAAATATTTTTATCAAGTGGCAGTGAGAGATGCTTCTTTTCGAACCAGCGTATTTTCAATGTAAAATGGGTTTCAAGATTTTTCTGCAAGATTAAGGTATTTCCTGATTATTCAGTCTTGTCACACTTAGACAGAAACACCCTGCAGTATTATTTTGGAAGGTTTTCAGACTTGAGACTCCTGATGAATTTGTCTTTGTGAAAATTTTGCACTCCTATCTGTCTTTTTAACAGCTGTCATGGAGGAGTTGGTAGAGGATGACATCTGTATTTTGAACCATGAAAAAGCAGACAACGCTCATAAGAGAGACGGGGAGATTCCTGTTTCATCTTACAGTGGAGATGAGTCTGTTGCCTCACACTTCGCACTTGTCACTGCATATGAAGATATCAAGAAACGACTAAAGGAGACAGAGAAGGAGAACTCCTTCTTAAAAAAAAGAGTTAGAATTCTAGAAGAGAAGGTAAGAAAAAAGTCAATTTACCACCTTCTGGTAGCAGCTACTTTTTTGCTCCTGGCTGGATGGTGGAGCAGATGGCTAAGTATTTAAAATATGTACTTAAAATACTTTCCAAGATAAAAAGTTTTGGTAAATGTTTTATTTGTTGAAGTGAAACACCGTTTGTTCCTCTGGTAGCCTAGTTGCGTCATACTGGGATTTTTGATTCTTACTGGGCATGTATGTGATGCAATGGAGTAGCGCCCTGCAACAACACTAGCTTTGATTCAGAAAGACGAGTAGTTGCACTGGATCATTACTGTATTTCATCTGCCTCTTTATGGTGTTTATTAACTTGGGCACGTGTGACTTAGTACTGTTGAATAGTGAGGTGCCAAGTCTATAAACTGTCAGAATCCAGGAACTGTCTATCAAAAGAATCTCTTGGGCTCAGCGTACTGAAATGATAAGGAAAAATTGGTTGTTAAGAATGTCTGGCTAGGTCTAGCTAGTAGCAGTCTCAAACGTGAAATACAAAGTTACAATGCTTAGCATTAGAGGTGTTGGCTGGCTATTTTTTGATGCAGTAATTCTAAAACGTAAAGAAATCTAGGAGTTTGTTTTATATGCAGTTTCTCATGGCCTTAGTCTAGTGAAGTTCATTAAAGCTAAAAATTGACCATGATGCAGGCTTTTCTCCTCGAGTAAAGAACGCTGCTGTTGAGTGTATAGCATCGTTCAGTAGTGTGTTTGTAGTGCAGAAGGTCTTGACTTTGATAGATTGCTTTCTTATTAATATAAGACAGAAAGATAGATCCTAGAGTTAGAGCCGAGGCATTTATTAGGACTTAGTCCTAAATATGCGCTGCTGACTCTTAAAAGTTTACAAAGTATGTATTATTTTGTGGCATTGGAATGAAGAGGTTGAGCCACACTCGGTACAGTTTTGAAACGCTTATTCCGGAATTCTTGGTGACTAGTTTGACAGAATTGAGTTTCTGCCAAAAGGCAAAACTTTCTGAGCACTTTCTTTATATGAGATCCTGGGGTAGGTAGGGGGTTGGGGGGGATAGGAATAGAGCTCTAGACTTGTCTACTCTCTGAACCATGCTGCGTGTAACATCTTTTACGTGGTTACTCAAAACCGCAACAAACAGGACTTGATGGCCCTGACAGTCTCTTTTAGTCTTGTGTCTCTCAGTTTGGCCTGCTTCAGCTTAATTGTCTTGAAGATGATATGTAGTTTTCCGCAGAGAAAACTTCTGGTGTAGTATGTGAATACCATAAAAATGTTTCTATGAGAGAGGGGCATTGAGAAGGCCTAGGGTGTTAAGTAACAGAACTTTCAGTCTTTGTTAATGGCTAGTATACTTATATGATAAAAAATACATGGGGTGTTACCCCTTTCGAGTTTTAAACTTCAAAGTGTATGGAAACTTCCAGATAGGTTGGTAAGGCTTATGTTCTTTCTGAATGGCTTTATTTGGGGAGGGAGGCAGAATGCAAAGGACAAAACTTAACATGAGTATTACACTTACTTTGCGGGTCAGTACAAAAAACAAGGGGCAGAAGCTTCCTGTTTTTATGGCTTGCTTCCTGAATGTTCTTTTGAGCAAACACCTAAAAGAGGAGGTATTTAAGGTAGATACGTTCTGTCACCTCTTTTTTTTTTTTTTTTTTTTTTTTTTGCGTGGCTCTTAATTTTTAAGAAAATACATATAAATCTGTCACAAATATCTACATTAGGTACGCTGAATGTGTTTAAATACCTCAACAATTTAAATCAAGTGTGCAGGATAAACAGAATGAAAAGTATAATGCAATACTTAGTCAAAATAAGAACCTTCTATACGGACAGATGTAATTTGATGTAAGACTTCTCTTCTTGCTGTCATGTAAAAAATACTGAATATATTTTAACTCTGCTCCCCTCTTTCTGACAATCTAGTTGGTAGTGTTTATTCCCCCTTGCTTGTCTCTTGACTTAGCAGGCAATGAGAGAGTGATGACCTGGAAGTTAATAGTTATTTGTAAAATAATTCTGCTTTGGCTTTTCTCACATAAATACACTGAAAAAAATCTTTGTATAAATTATGAGTCATTAAAAAAATTATGTTCATTTTCCTCTTAATTTTCTGTATGTTGTGTCTTTTATATGCTTAAAACTCTTTTTCCAAAAAGTGGTTTCTACTTCTTCAGAGCCTGGAAAAATATGATTAAGGGCTTGTCAGTGTGAGTAATCATGACTTGTGGATCGTTTTTAAATACTCATAGCAGTAAAACAGCAAGCATTAAGTATGGTTAGAGATTGCAGAATTTGTAGATGCCCTTTGTTGCATTTTTGTAAAACATTTTGGTCCATATCAATGTATTTGATTAATTTATTTTCTAAGCTACAACGAAAATAAAAAATTGTGTTAGTTTAATGTTGCAGACTGTACTATTGCACTTTTTAAATTTTGCAGTTCTCAGTATAACATATGAAACTTCTTATTTCTCATGTTTGTTAACCTTTTAGCTGCTTGGCTCCCGACTGGAAGAGGAATGCAGTTCAGTTGGACGTGAACAAGTAAATAAGGCATACCAAGCCTATCGAGAGGCCTGCATTGACAGAGATAATCTGAAAAGCAAACTGGATAAAATGGTATGCCTTTTTAAGTAATGACTTAAATGCATTTTATATAAGTACTGCATAGTTAGTAAATGTTTACTGTAGAATTAATTTTATTTGCTGAAGATATGTGGTGTTTGTTTTATCACTCCTTTAGGTTTTTAAAGTACATGACGATACTTTATGTAGGAATAACAATTTTGAGTATCTCGATTTTATTACTGGGCTAGGCTAATGCTAAAAAAATCAAAGCAGTAGTTTTCTTGTTTTGTTTTGGCTTGTTTTTTAAAAAAAAAAGTTGAATTGTCAGATATGATAGAAGAGTTTCACAAATGGCTTCCTCCCGCTCCCCCCTCCTGAAAATAGATGAAAGAAAGTGCGGAATCCTTGAAAAGCTTGAATGAACAGTTGCAGTCTAAAGAAGTAGAGCTGTTGCAACTAAGAACTGAAGTGGAAACTCAACAAGGTATGCATTTGGTTACTTCATCTTAATGTATGTTGACTAGTCTTAGTGGTTATGTTATGATCTCAGGGCATGAAGATGTTTAACCCTATACAGTGGCTAGGTAAGAGAGGAGCATGCTGCAGTGAGATACCTTGAGCTTGTGTATGTGTTCTTTCTTGTAAATGGTGACAGGCATGTTTTATTATCATAGATGAGGAGCTCCATGGTAAAGATCTGAGGCTGTCATGTTCTTCCACTGTAGGTTATTTAATAATTGGAGAAATGCACAACCTGACAGTTTAATAGGCTAGTCTTGCACATCTCTGGACCCCACCATCTTTTCCTCACAGTGGGGCAGGGGCATACTTGTTCAAGTATCAAACACTCTCCAGTCAATACCACTTTCTCTGGTACCTGCAGATGATCTGGTATATCGCTTTGTTTCACTCTTGGGACATGACAGGTACAAGAGGATGCTGTATAGCAATAGCTACAGTCAACAACAGCTATTTAAAGGGCTGGGAGGTAAGGAAAGGTAGAAAGATGCTGGTTGTGGAGAGCCCGGTGGAAAGAGGGAAGAGAAACAGTGTACCCTGGCAATTCAAAAAGCCCAAATCCAGCTTCTGTTACTGCCATGGTAGAGAGTGCTGTGTAGATGACAGGTATGTAAAATAAAACACTATGGAATTAAAAAATAATCTTTATTGATGTACTGTTATAAGAAGAGAGAAGAAGAAAATCCCATCTATGTAAAGTTAGAGATATGGACTGGACTTCATATTCTGTACAAATGCAGTCATTTGAAGGGTGCTTGTAAGTATTGCTGTGCTTGAATTGGATTACTTTCCAAGAGGACCTCAAGCATGTAATTCACTACTTCAATTGCACAAGTTTTTAAACCTAGAAGAACAAACCACATGTAGTAGTAGTATCATTGTTGAGGACATTATGGTTTAAGGAGGTAAGAAGTGCAGAGTTCATAAAGAGCTCTGCAAACTTCAAGCCTTATTTAGTAATCAATTTTACTTATAAGTGGGCTCTGAGTACCTCGTTTAAGAAAAATCAGTGTAGCTTAAGCTTGTTTAAATTGTTAAATCTGGAAGTGAGTGTACCATGCAGTTGAAGACTTGGGGGTTTTCTTCCTGTCATGTTCGTTCGTTCGTTCTTTTCTTGCTGTCTAACTAGCCTCCTACTGCTGATCTGATGCTAGGATCATCTTAGGTTGCTTCTTGATAGACACCATGTGAATTTGTTCTGTCTAATAAGACAACTTGTGTAACTTCTAGACTTTACCCTTTTGTTTTTATTGTATCTTTTGTAGTTCTGTTTGGAACTTCTTGATATTAAACTTGGGAAAAACTTAGGGTAAATTATGTAACGATATAAATCTGAGGAAGGAAAAGCCTCGTGTTTTCAAAGTGTGTGAGAAGTATGCAAGTTGGTGTATACATCATGCGTGTTTGCCATTAACAGATTTTTGTATTTTTGGTGCCTTTTTATGCTGTTCCTTCCTTTTCCTTCACGTAAAATCTCCAGTGCGTTCTTGGAAAGTAGGGCTCCGTACTTTAACCTCAGAAAATAGACTACTTCTCTGCCAACAACTTTACCAGTGTTATTACTTCTCTGTTGTCATAAACAGCAGTTTCTTCAGAATGTACAGGATCATTTTTTGTAGGGCATGGGCTGGTTAAAGTGAAACCTTACACATTGAGTTACATTTCTTGAGCCGAAACTGAAATCTGATTGTCTTGCTTGTCTTCTTACAGTGATGAAAAATCTGAATTGTACTCAGTCGAGCTGGGAAATAGAGAAGCTGAGCAGTGACCTGAAAGTGTATAGTCTGGAACAGGATCTAGAAAAGCTCAAGCAAGAGTGCAACAATCTCAGAAAGGAGTTGCAAAAATCCAAGCAGAAGGTACCCTTATTTTTAAGGACTATTTGTATTAACAGATTTTTCTGTGTTATAGCATTATTTTAAATCCCTTGTTCAAGCAAAATCAAGGGTAAACAAAGATATATAAAGTACATAATTGAGTGAAAGATTAACATCCTAGTAAAATTAACCTTAAATATTCTTGTAGTCTGGCTTGTTTCTTGGGAATCGTACACTTACGTAGGTGAGATTTCTCAGCTGTTGCCCATATAACAACAGAAAATAAAGCTTTACAATTTCTTATAAGTAGCCGATCAGATCAAAGTGTTCCATGCTGGTATTTGTCTTGGGCTGGACTTAGGAAGTTTGGGAAAGACCTGGTTTGTTTGAGGTTTCTTGTTTTTCTTTTAAAACAATAGAATGCTTATGTTAAAACATACCATGAACTTTGCTGAAGGAGCTCCAGCACAGCAGGGTAGTCGTGTGAAGCTTGTCAGGCAAGTGGATTTTTTTAACAAGGTTTCCAGAATCTTGCTATACCTCTTAGTGCCCTTCCCTGACATATCTGGGGCAAGTGTCTGTTGTGGGAGACTCATTGTGTAACGTAGATGTGCTTAGGATCTCAAAACGGAAATTAAGCTATCTTAAGAGTAATAAGATGCATTAAAGTTTAAAAAAAAAAATGTCTAGTGCATGCGTGCTGCTTTACATGATAAAAGCTGCAGTGGCAGTTGCTAGGACTCTGCAGTCACATGGAAGTTACACAATAAATTTAAAAGATTTAAATGTGATTTATTTTGAAGAGGCAGACGATTTTAGGTTCCTTATGGTCATTATTGATTATGATTATGTAATCTTGAGTCACATAATATTTGAGTGAGCCGATATTCAGGGTATGTAAGACTCCACCTGTCCTGGGCATTCGGGGACCAGACTAGAGCTAGCCTGAAGTCAAGTCCTTCTCCCCTGCTGGCCTGAAAGCATATATATAGGTGGGGTGCTGGGCTCTCAGCACTGAATGTGTCTCTACAGATCTGCTGTTCTCACGCCACGCTCCTAGCTTACGTAGGACAGGCGTACGTGGATCGCCTTGTCTCAGGTTTAGTCTGTGTTTTTTCCACTAGGTGGGGATAAAGCACGTAACCTGGAAGGCCTGTGAGGTGTTGGTTAACTTCTGTTACTGTTGGTTGTTGGGTTTTGCTTGTATCTGGAATTCTCCCAGGCGTTTTCAATAACTTGTCAATTCCGAAGGCACACTGTAACTCGTATGCAGTTCTAGTGTCTTCGGGTAGCTCTATAGCACAGAGTAACAGCTATATAAATAATGGAAGATTGCAGATCGTATTGTGAGAATGAATGTTGCTAGAAAGAACAGACTAAAATAGCAGTTGTAAGGAATACTAGACATGACACTTTAAATAATGCTTATGTCAGCAACTTTTGTTGCAAAGAACAAATATAAGCAACAGCTTTTTTTCCTTTTTTTTTAGTATCATTTCTTTTTGATCCTGGTAACTGCTTAATATAGGAAATAAAAAGATACAAGTTTTCAAATGTGGGGTAATATAGTGTAACTGTTTGGTTTGGTTTGGGGTTTTTTTTCCTGTGAAATTGAGTCTCTGATGGGTGGTGGTGGGAAGGTCTTCAGGAGGGGATAAATTGTCAGGTGAAATACAGGGAAATGTGATGAATGGGCAATGACAAGTCAGCATTGTTTCAAACCCAGCTGGTATTTTCGTTATTACTGTTTTTAATTACATTAGTGAGAATTTTCAGATGTTCTCTATCTTAGGCAAGTATACTTTCTATTTTTTTTCTATTTTTAGATATTCAGGTTTTGCATTGTAGTTGATGCAGTGTTTATATTGTATTGGCAAGTTGCTTGAAATGTATATAGGCCATCATGAAGCCACAGTAACAGGTCTCAAATTCATAACAGCTTTGGCTAGAGGGAATGCTAGTAGGAAGGGAGCATGAAGAGAAGAGAGATGAATGGGAACTCGTCTCAGGTGAGGGTCTAATGGAAACAGGACTAACGGAGTGAGCCCAATGTTTCATTTGTTTAAACTCTCCTGTTAACTTCAGTGAGGCTGCTTGTATGCACGATTTAAAGCAGTCTTTCAGACTCAAGTGATAAATTATGTTCTATCATAAAATTAACTTGTGGAAGTAACTGAAACAGTTTAATTTAAAGGTCTTTCTATACTGGGGCAGGGAAAGAACAAGAGAAAACGGATTACTTTTTTTGTTTTTTTTAATAGAAGTCAAAAGCCTTTCTCAATTTTTGCTTTTCAAAGAATCACAAATTCCGAGAGCTCAGCTGTTTTAAAAAAATAAGAAAGAGAAAGGAGAGATAATGTGGTAGCAGCTGAGCAGTGCTTTCATTTAAGTAGGTAATTTAAGCATTTTTAAGTAAAAATTCTTAATAGAAGTCTTTACATCCATTTTGAAAACCACTGCAGCCAACGCAAATGAAGACTGCTTTACTTCTGAATTTTAATTTTAGCAAACTTGTAGTTTCACTGCAGTATTTTCAGATAGAAGATCTGAAATCATACGTTCATTCCTTCTCTATCTTCCCCTCGCTCTGTTATGCAGGACCAGGCTCAAGATGAAAATCCATTAACTGGAGACCTCCTTCAAAGGCAAGACATCCAGAGGTATAAAAATCAAGTGGCTTTCATGTCTTATTTTTAGTTTCCTGAGGGACAGTTATTTGGACAAGTAAATATTCTTGCAGCCTGTTCAAATGTGTTATTTCAATCCTCATCTAATTTCAAGTCTAGGTATACTGATTTAGCAAGATCATTGTAATTTTTTTTTCTTTATGTTGGTAGTCCAGGATGATGATGATAAGAAAACATTTAGATCTTCAGATTATTGTAATGAAAAGGAAAGTTAAATTATCTTATATTTAAAAAACAGCTTTTTAATCATTACTTGACTTGAGGAGGCGGTAGGTAAATTTCCAAGTCTCATCCCAGCTATAGAATATCTTCATTCTGCATATGGGGAGGTTTCTGCGTTTGCATAGGTGATGGCTTCAAATCTCCTGCTTAGTGTTGAACATACATTCTTACTTAGCGTAGTGCAATAATATTTCTACTAGAAGACATTTTAAAGGTGGGGTTTTTTTTTAATATTGAGGAGCCATCGTGTGACGTATTCAAAAAGAAATATCAATCTTCCAGAAAAACGCTAACACATCAGAAAGCATTTGTTCCCATTTTGCAGCCGTTCAAATAATAATTGTGCTTATGAACTAAACTCCTATTTTATCCTGTCTCGAGTATGTGTGCTGTATCAGAAAGTATATATATCCTTTAATTCTCTACGCAAAAGAACAATTCATGAATGGATGAAACTTCCCAAATGTTCTGTCTGGCAGAAATGAAATACTAACTGCATCTCTTACACCCAGTTATGCCTGTTCGTGTACTTACACAATTTTCCACAAGAGGGAAGAGTGGTCCTTCATAATGACAGATTGTTTAGCGTAATACCTTGTTGCTTACTTGGGTATTGAAGAGATGGCAAAGGAAATCAGTCACTGAAAGAGAACAGCACAGATATTTGTTTTCATATGTTCTCTGGTGTTGTGATGGTAATGTTTTACACACTATACACGCATTACACTTTCACCTTTCACCTTGACTGAAACAGCTAGCTAACACTTTTTCTTGTGGTTTCTGCTGGAGTTTCATAGTCAGTCTTACACGCCTGAAAAAAGGTGTTATTTCAAGGTAAAGCGGTTCTCTCTTTGATCTTCCAGAGCAGATTTATTCCACAAAGTGACGTTCAGGTGGCAACCGTCTGAATTAGTGTATATACAGTATAGCGTTTATTGTAATATGACATAAATAATGAATGTGTAATGTGTACTGAATATGTAAGCCCATCCAAAGGTCTGTGGAAAAATTGAAAAACCTCCTGTGTGAACCATTTGTAGCAAGCAGTCCTGCTGTTTATGGGAGATGGAGGCATTTGCAGTTAGTTACCTTTTTGGAAAGTAATTACTTCACATTTGTCAGCAGCTTGCAAATCTGACTTTCCATTCTTGTTCTGCAAATCTACTTTGCTGTCGATTTAGATAGGCTATCATATTCAAGGTTTATGTTATATGTTAGAAGGCAGTATAGGGTAAACTTCCAAGCATGTGGAATCCTTGGTCTTCAATTGCAAATTCACTGAAAATTAGGCTTTGCAATGGGATTCTAGGTCAGTATCCACAAAAGCAATTAAAATGTAATGTGTGATTTAAGTGGAATTCTGGTACCTGCATCCCTTTGCAAGACGCTTTTAAAAGCGCTAAATGCATGTTACAAAATTTATCTAAGCACTTTCCTTCTGGTTGGTGGCAGCCAGGGAGCTGTTCTTCTATTTACCACTTCTATATTAAATATTGGACAGTTCTGTTTTGATATAACTAAAGTTTGTTTGACCTTATTTTCGAGACCAAAACACATGAATAAATGAAGTATGGTTGCCACATTAACTTTAATTTTAAAATTGTCATGTCTTAAAATTTCAAAGAGCCAAATGGATTCTGCAGTAAGAAGGCCACAGGTTCAGCTGAACTTCTTGAAATATCAGTTCTGAAAATGTTAACTTTTTATTTATCAGAATTGCTGATAGCTAATACATTACCTATTAAAATATCAGCTTCCTCTGTTCTTTTACAGAGCTTTTGAATCTGAATTTTTGTATTCCAGGGAAATATTTCTGTGCATAGAAGAAGGTTTAACTTTTGTTTTAAGGGATCTCTTTTGGCGTTAACTTGCAGAACAGAATAATAGCTGTTTCTCACAGTGCTTTTGAACACATTCATGTCTGATAAATTTCACACAGGAGTGATCCTAGGTTGCTATTTCAGAGGGACAGAAATCTCTGTATATGCATGTTTGAAAATACAGTTGTTCTACAGCTTAATAGTTGTAAGTCATCTCAACAATAGTTTCAGGTACTGAACTGTTTCGAAACAAACATCTTTGAGGTGAATATAGTGAGGAAGAAAGAATTATTCTGAAAACTCCCATCCGTGATACTTGTCCTCAATAAATGTGTTTTGGTAGAATGTTAAGCATTAAAAAAAACATTAAATCATTGATTTCATGTTTAAGTTGAAGTAACTGCATCCTTATGTATTTGAACACTGAGTTAATTATTAATCAACATAAACGTGGTGTTCTGCAAGCCGTTGCTCGAAATTTTACCAAGAAACGTACGGCGATGCTGACTTTTCTGATTTATTTTTTTTTCCCCTTGATTTTTTTACTAGCTAATAACCTGAAACTTCAATGTTGGAACAGTGCTGCTGTTGCTAAATATGTTTCCCGCAATATGCTATCTTATCAGAGAATGAATTGGGTTACTATTTTTTACACTGTCTGATAAGGCAGTGTATTAACATAAATTAGATGACTTGAATATGAAACAGTATGTTTTATGTTTTTAGTTCGGTCTGTGTGGGCGTGCTCAGTTTGGATCTCAGGTATCCAGTCTGAATTCATTGTAGCAAAGTGAATGGTGTAAAGACCCAAATACTGGTTTTTTGACTGACATTATGATCAATTAACATTACTAGGATCATAAGATGTCTGCATGGTCATTTCTCAGAAGCCGTTCAAAGCTAATATTCTACCTTGTTTGCAGTCTAGTGTCCATTTAATATATATTTTTTAAAAAGTATTCCTTTGAGATTCCTAATTTTATGGGAAGACAGCTAGTTTCAAATAATGAAATTGGAGAATATGCTTCATATTTCTTTCCATTCGGGGAACTTGAAATTATTGGTATCCTCTAGTATGTTAATATATAGTATGTTTTATTTGACTCTTGCATATTACAATATGTAATACACAAAGGTCCATCAGTTTAAGACAATTATCAGTACTGCTCAATTCATTTTGAATTATGGTACTCTAGCAAAATTTGAAGTGTATGTCAGGCAAAAACAATTTATTAACAGTTAATGTTCGATAAGCATGTTAATAGGCATGAGGGTGCTTTAGAGGTAGCAATTATTTAACTTTTAAAAACATTTTGTTTTGAAAGTGTGCAACAAGCATATTGGGAACTGAAGAGAGAAATGTCTAATTTGCGTCTAGTGACTGACGTGCAAGCTGAGGTTCTACGAAAACTGAAAACAAACCCAACGGCGACCAAGAAAGGCAAGTCAGTGTTTGCAGTAACAGACCTTACAAACACAAACCATTGATTCAAGCTGTACCATTTTAGAAAGAAACTAGCTATCATATCTTATCAGAATCTCATCAATTGAAGTTGATAAGCTAGACTACATTATGGTTCCAGCCTACCCATTTTCTGCTTTTGCTTCTGTCTCATAGCGGTCAACTTCACACATAAAGGTGTTGCTGATGTGTTTTTTCTTCAGTACTGTATTCTGTTCCCCTTGTGGCTTTTTTCTCAGTCAAGTGTTGCTTATGTGCACAAGGCTGAGGTGTTAAGTTTACTTGTATTTGACCTTTTACCACAACTACTTCATATTAGGGGGGAAAAAAAATCTTTTTGCAAACGCGGTCTTATTTTCCCAGTATAGTATATATAAAGTATTAATTTGGCAACATTTTAAAATCAGACTTTAATGGACTGAAATTCCCTTATGGTTGCATATTTCTTTATGTTGGCATTCAGAAAAGTTGTCTTTCTAGCAAAATGCTACGCAAGGTGACATTTTCTGAATGTCAAATACTGAGGCTGTGAAACTGCCTTATTTCTGCTGCTACACTGCAAATAATTAAGGGGAAAACAATTTCCACAGAAAGTACGTATAATTTCTGTGAGCAGTTCATCAGGTGGTTCTTCTATTTCATATGTATGTTTCTCTCAAGCCAAATGCTTTACGAGAGAGCATTCTTACTTTGGTGGGGCCAGACTATCAGTCTGACCATTTATCGCAGTGTTTATTTCCTTTGTTTTCTGCTCGCTTCAGTTGTGGTATTTACTGTGTTCAGAATACAGAAGATGCTGGTGAAAGACGGTGAACTTGGTTACAATATATTGGTGACAGTCTCTGATGTCCCCGTCCATTACAAGACCAAGACAATTTGTTTCTAAACAGCTTGGATTGGCTTGGTGAGATTAACGGTAGGATTCACCTCCAGGTCAATCGCTGCCTTTGTCTGTGGCCAGCAGTGATTAATGATCTCTCTGGTACTTGGCTGAGAAATTATCCATGCGTTTTGTAGACTCGGTCATATTGTTACCAGGTGAGTCCGGGTTCCTGCAATTCTAAGACACAGTTGTCAAATAACTTCAGGAGACAAACTGGGAACTGAATGAGGTTTTTAATCCTTAAGTCTGTCAAGGTCTGATGCGATCACATTGTATCTTTGTGTCCTTATTTTTAATTTGGAGTTATCTGTCTTGCCACTACACACGTACTGATTTTTCTCTTCTCCTGCTTGGTGAACAGTCCGATTGTCTGCAGTTGCTAATGCAGTTGTCCATCCACAGCTTTAAAAGGCAGTATGGATTAACTGGGAAACAATGCATTTTCGCTTTTTGCTCTGTAGGCTTTTTTCAGTAATTTTTTCAGAAGTAAGAATGGACGGGTTTGGCAGAAATTAAAACTTCTTTTTTTTTTTTTTACCTTGTCAGCCACACTTACAAACGCAATGCAGATACATCTCTGCTTATATTTATAGAAGAATCTTGGCTTATGCAAAATATGGGTAGAATGACTTAAAACTTCTACTTCCTATACCTGCAGCACTAGCTATTATAGCAGCAACTAGTTTGTATATGGTACGAGAGGTGCCTAACGTCTACAGAACACAATGTATTCATTGCTGCGTGGGTCATGCTAACAGTATGAGTTAACACACGGATTCTCCTTAGCTGTCATTTATGTATGGAGGCATTTTCAAAAAACGTGTGTCCACTTACGGGGTGGGCTGGTTTGTTTTGGTTTGTTTTTTTTACATTTTCAATCCATTTTCAGTATATTCCATTTTTCTTGAACTTCTAAAGGTCTGGAGACCTCAAATTGCTTTTGACGCCTGTCAGCATGAAGAGGCCAAATCCAGTTCCTTAGCATCTTTCAGGCACGATGCCGGTGCTTTTGGCTGACGTTTGCAAACTGGGTACCACCTCTTAGTTCTTAGTGACAAATGGAAGTTGTATTCTTTGACCAAGATACTGGCTCCTCTTTCTGTCAGTGAAGAACTAAAGTTACAAATCACAGTTAGTATTCAAGATTCATAGCTATTCTATAAAACTACTTGTAGAGACACGAGTTTCTTTAACTGCAAGAATCATGACATGTTTATGTAAATTATCGGCCATCTGTTCAGATGTGCGTTGAAGGTGCAGCTCTTCCGTTTCAGGTAGATGCTGTTCTGTTTCAAAATCCTCCCCTTCCTAGCACGGTTTAAAACTCCTGGAATTTCAGATGGCTGTCTGTCGCTTTACTTTCAGAAGTCGGACAGTAGTGAGGCATAGAGCACCCGTGAACACCATGCATTTCCCTCTTACTGCTTCATGGACAGTGAGAATTCACAGAATCATAGAATCGTTAAGGTTGGAAAAGACCCTTAAGATCATCAAGTCCAACCATTAACCTGTCACTGCCAAGTCCACCACTAAACCGTGTCCTCGAGCACCACGTCTACCCTTCTTTTAAATACCTCCAGGGATGGAGACTCAACCACTTCCCTGGGCAGCCTGTTCCAATGCCTGACTGCCCTTTTGGTGAAGAAGTTTTTCCTAATATCCAACCTAAACTTCCCTAGACTTCAGGTTCTTGGCAGCCCAAGAACACAACTTGTTAAAAGAATCGGTAGAGCGGGAAGAAGCACGCTATGTGTAAGCAGTGTTCTGAATCTGGTTGATTTCTCCAAGTGTATGAAAATCCTCTGTTTCAGCATTCATTCCAGTCTTGTCAAAAAGGTCATCAGTTTGTTTGTGTTCAAGTGGGAACAGGAATGTTTCCTTGGTGTTGGGTCTATTTTAGACATTGCGATTTCCGGATCTCTGGTTCATCTTGCAAAATCAGTCTGCGGAGGTTAGTATGTTCAGTTTGTAACTTTTAAGTAGTTACTGAAGTAAAATACGGTCTGAAAATGCGTAGCTTGAAAACACTGGGTTTAACACAGCAGCTATACTGTAGTACATTTGGAGTATGAGAAATATGCATTAGATAATGTCATTTTAAAATCTTTTTTATCTTCTTTCTTCAGCTGCCTCTGCCGCACCAGTACAATGTGTTGACTTGAACATTTCAAAGCGGAATTTTACATCTGGGGTAGCCTATAAAAAACTCTCCCAAAACAATAACGTACTCTGCAATGCTGTGTCTCCCCCTCTGCCGAGAGATGTAAAAATCCCACCTGAAAGGGTGACTCTACAAGCATGGACAGATGAGAGACCCATTCCAGTCGATGGCAAAACGTTTCAGGAACACCATTCGTACGGGAAGAGCTCTCTGGAAGATAATTCCTGGGTATTCCCAAGTCCTCCAAAGCCTAATGAGAATGTGTTTTGGGAAATGAAAAATAAAACCACCTTGTTAAACTGTCCAGCAGACTACCTGGATCAGTGTAATCAAAACTGTCTGCACAAGAGTTAAAACAATTTTTAGAATGAACTGAGGCTTTTTTAGAATGGTTCTGAAATAGGCACCTTAACGCTTGAGAGGGAAAACAAATTGCCTGAACTGTTCTTTCTGTATTTTTAATTCTAGTTCCGAAACAGAAAGCCTGGTCTTCCTCTGCTGTAAATCAGGAGCAAGTTCCTTCAAGTTAAAGCTGTGCAGGTATAATGTAAATAACAAAGAAATCTAGCGTGGGGCCTAGACAGTCTTGTACTGCAAATGGCATACATTTGCAAAAGACTACACTGAAAAGTGAGTTCTTGGAATAAAACTAAGAAACCCAGTCTGTATTTGTTTGCTATTTATATGTTATCAAGAAAATACTTGGTATCCTGTGTTAAAACTTGTACCAGCTCTGAGCTTACTTTTGACAGTGTGTTTTTGGTTTTTTTTTTCAGAGTAAGACATAAAATGAAAAATCGGATTATCTCTGCCTTCCTCCTTTCAATTAACTTTCTGATTCCTCTGGTTTCAAAATGCTTTTTTATGTAATTTTTAACTAAGAAAGGTGAGATTTTCTTGTCAAAATCTTGATTTATATTAGATAGTGGCAAGAGAAAAATCACTCCTAGGCTACCCTGTTGAGATTGCACCATTTTGGGCCTTATTGTGAATGATAAAGGATCATAAGTAATGCTGCTGAACACTGAATCCTGGATGTTCAGCTCGTTTCCCTCAGCTGCCGCTGCAGGACAGAGACCTACGTCTGCGCACAGCGCTGCCTGCCACAGAACCATCCCCTTCGCGGTGCAGCGATCCTCGTCGTGCCTCCTTTGCACAGCACCAGAACCGTGACTTTGTATTTGTGTGGTGGTGAAGGCTACTAACTTTTCTTTTATTAAAGAAACAAAGCCTTAATTTAATCAGACTATGTGTTGTAGCATTGTTGATATACATAAGTATTGTTGTGGTATCTTTAGTATGCCACTAAGAACTAGAGTTATTTGAATTGCAGCTGCCTGCTTTATCCATTATGGGTGTCTAAGTACTATTTTTTTTTTTCTCTTAAGGCCAAGAACTGTTTTTAGACAAATACAATTTATGCCTTTTTTTTTTTTTTTTTTTTTTTTTTTTAAAAAAAACTGCTCTGCTTCATGTCTGGCTTAATACAACCGGGTTAAGTGAAATGCCTTTGACTGCTCGATGCGTTGAAGAAAAATGCTTTGTATTTTAGAATCACGATATCTAACTTGTAATGGGTGGGAAGACACTTAATACTAAATATGTTACTTACACATGAGTGGGCGGGTGGGTGAAGTATTCAACTTCACAGGTCCAACTTAAGATCAGCGTAATAAAAATCAATTTCTCAGCTTTTTAGCAGCAAATGATCTTAAAATTGCTTGCAAATCCATGAGGAAGCGATGACTGTAGCACAGTGATGGGCTGTAAAAGTGCTACCAAGGTGCTCCATGACCTGTGTGGTTCCAGATACTTCCTCCCCTGTGGAGGATGTACTTCCTATGATGCCTGTTGTCTTCTCCTCTTTCAGGCTCTCTATCAGAGGTGAAAAAATGCCTTCCGGCTACCTTCTACTGTATTAGTGAACAGCATACATAAATAATGTTTCCCATTCACCAGATATTGTTTTTATCTTTCTATTATCTTGCTCACGTATACTGGCTTGTCTGTGATTAATGGAAATGGTGTCAGATGCTGGAATTTATTCTGACCAATGAACACAGCTGACTCAGGGGAGTACAATCTCTGGGAAAGTAATAGAACAAAACCCAATATGCATAAAACAAATCCAAGTCACTAGGCTTTAGCTGATAGAACCAACTACCTGTGTAATAACAAAGCAGCAGAAACCATTTCTCATGTGGCTGCATAAGCTATGTGGTATCTAGTTCTAATGTAGCTTACTTTTGGGGGTTCCCCACTTCCACAGTACAGAGGATTTTTATTAAGTAATGTATTATCCAACAGACATCAACATGATTAAGACTTTGGTTTGTGCAATGAAGGAATTCTACTGTGTAAGATTTTAAATAAATTTATTTTTGTTTGAAATTGGTTTCACTTACAAATCTCCTTTCGGTATTTGGCACAAAATTTTTTTACCAAGTTTTAATTTCTTGATTGTGGAGGGAGGTCATTCCAAACACAAACAATTGAGCCTCAGCTCATCCTCCTCCATCCAGGAAAAAACCAAACATCCGCTGCAGACTGTTTCGACGTATTCTCTTAGATGTTGAAACCTGAAGAGCTTAGTTACGCCTTAAGCTACGGCGCGTTCCTGGGGTTAGACGACTTGTGGCAAAAGGTTCCTGCTCGGCCTGTCCCGTGTGACAGGGAAACTGAAAATGAAGCTGCTCTGTGTGGCGCCTGAGACTTTCTGGGCTTTGCCTTTGACTCTTGGTTTATCTCTGTGCTGCTTCCCGGGCCGGAGAAGGGAGCAGCGATGCTTGCCGAGAGGGACTTCAGAAGAACTGCTGCTACCCGAGAGAGGAGGGCAGGCTGACGGCGAGCTTGCTGTAGGCAGCATTTCCCATCCGCTCGCTCGTTGCTGTGGCCGCACCGTGACATTTGAAAAAAGTCCCCAGACTTGAAGTCACTTGGGAGCTTGCTGGCTCGTGAAGCATCTGTTGGTCTGAAGCATACAATCAAATTTTGACTCAGGATGGAAAAGTCATTTAAATCCATGCCGCTAGTGGCTTACAGTGCTTTTTCCATTTTCAGAAGTGAAAGCTTTTCATCGCAGTGACAGCAAATTACATGCAGAAGTAGCTGTAGCGAGGAGGTTCTGCTGTTTTGTGTGCGCACGTGCGTTTGTTACAGAAAACCATAAAATTGCATAAAGTAAGGACCAAAGTTTTCAAATGATGCCGAAAGAAAATTCACTTGAATGCAAACTTGGAACATTTCAAAACTTTACCCAACCACTGACTGGACAATTTTGAATTTAAGAAAGCACTAATTCCTTTTAACAGAAATGGAAGACAGCTTTTGGGGCAGGAGAAGGTTGTTGCTTTGCACATTTAAGTGAGCATATGGCAGGCTGATGAATATGTATTTGGATATTTGAAGAGCTGGACTAAATTCTAATAACTCATATGTAAACTTCCACTGTTTGGTTCATTTTAAGTATTTTTAAAATCTGACCATTTTGAGTCTCCCTGCCGGTTTTGTGGCTTTACAGCTGATTAGTTTTCCTCTTATGTGAACTAGCCATATTGAAGAAAGCAAACTCCCAAATTAGCTGTGATGCAGTGTCAAATTTTTACAGCTGGAAAAAGACGAGAGCAGTACTGGACATATGGGGGAGTTGCAGTAAGACAACACCCAGTCCAAATAATGTAACACAGGCCCATGCAAGTATAATATGAACTACACTGGTGATGTAAAACAGATCTCATTTTATTTCAAAAACTACTTGCAGTAGACTTTGAGACGCCTACGCTCAGGCACCTGTATTTTTAATGACGCTGTGGCCTGGTAAAGGAAGAGTGAAAAGCTCCGGTACCTGACGGACTCGCCTGCGCTTCCTTCTGGTGCTCAGACAGGCCCTGTGAAGACAAGTGCTCGCAGAGCAGTAAGGTGTCTCCCTGTTGCTCTGTGCAGATGAATACAAAAAGGCAGGTGGGTTTTGGGGGGGGGGTTTGTATTGCTTTGTTTTATAAGGGCCAGCCTTTTGCCCCTTTCTGGGTGGGAGGGGTGGTGTGCTACTTGCAATTGTACGAACATAGGACAGTGGACAAAGTATTTCTTTTTTTTTTTATTATCAGCACTAAAGGTAAACCCTAATTTTAATCGAGTTGGAAAATCCCAAGCCTGATAAGCAGTTGAACTGGTTTTTAACAAAAAAAAATCTGTTCTCTGTAGTAAATGCGCTGTGATGTGAACCGAGATCAGTGTCCAGCAGAATTCATTTCATCCTATTTTAAGATGGAAGAGAGAAAGTGGTTCAAACATCAAGATACAGTAATTAAGTGGTAAGATGATAGTGTTTGAGTACGGATGGTTGATGTAGGGGAAAAGCATGAAAGAAAGAACCAGGTGCTGCTTATTGTTACCGAACTGATTTTTAACTAGATGGAACACTTAATGTTTCAACTGTATTTGACCATTTTTGGACCAGCAGAGTAACGAGAGAACACAAGCTTGCAGGAATTACTTGAGGAGGAGCATGGCTGTACTAAATATGAGGCAGAATGGGTTTCTGGCTTACAGATTAATTGCTGGGTGAGGACTCGGAGACTGCACCGGTAGGTAGTTCCACTCCTCTTTGAAAACCCTGTGCCTTACAGAATGCAACTCCTCTTTCCTCAGAGTTTTCATTTTACTCTATGAAGGCAAACTTTTTAAGTAAGTCTATGACGCCCTTTTCCTCCTTCCTTTTAGATTTCACATTTGTAGGGGGCTTCTCTCAGGAGTTTGAAGAGAGCTTTGGTACACTGAACTGAAAAATGGGGGCATCCTGGCTGCTTGTCAACTTCTCCCAAGTGGTATGAAGAGGAAAAGATGGGCCCCTACGCTGCAGAAGCTGTGACAGACGCCTCGCTGCACTGCGCGAGGGTGCTAGGTGACAAGTCCGTCTCCTGGCTTTAAGACCCAATTCCACCAATGTCAATCAATAGTGCCACACAGTGGATGGTTTTAAACTGGCTGAGCACACGGTTCCCGTTCAAGGGGGTAAGCACCGGGTGCGGGCTAGCGGCACGGCTACGGTGAAAGCCGCACAACTTTGTGAAAGCTTCTTGTTAGTCTTAAAATTGGAACAGGCAAAAATTGGAACGGGCAGTCTTAAAATTGGAACTGCAAACACTCGGTAATGCCACCTTAATTTTTAAGGAGGTCATGTGTTAGAAAACATCAGGCACTTACGCAAATACTAGCTACGATGGGCTAGCGGCACTTCAGACTTTGGCTGACCTACTCGAGTTAGTCCCTGCCTCTGCACTTTAGTAATCTTTTTATCTTAATAGGCTAACTTGAAAACACGGGAGATACACCTAGACTAATTCCACCAATTGTCTACTCCTATGCAGAATAATAATGTGTAAGAACCCTGCAGATTTGATTTCAAAATGAAAAGACATATGAAGAAACATCTAGGGACCATTAATTAGAGTTGCAATCCCTGGTTTAGATGAAGATGGCCAGGTGAAGTACTGCGTGTCTGCACTGATGTCAGCTGCCTTCCTCATCACCTGTAGCTGGCTACTCTCGGTGAGTACCGGCAGCTACATGTTTTGCTGGGAGGCGGAGGGGCTGAGGGGGGAAGACAGCCAGGCTTCCAGAGCTATACCCTCTCATCATTCATTAATAACTTCTGACCAAA